AACTAAACAGCAGACTAACGTAGGGAGAATTTTGATGTTGGAATTACGAAGAGTTATTTGAGAATATTTGAAATTTCATACTGTCGGAATTAGTTGAAAATTAGAATTGTTTAATGTACAACGAGAGTCATTTTTGTCAATCGTACACGGGTCATGAGAAAGTTAATAGATAGTTGACTAGGTTGATTGATAATAGATGTACAACGGAGAGTGCATATGAGCGAGTATGAATGTAAATTTGATGCAGTAGGAATTGAAGTAACTTGATTGATATAAACGATCGAGTCACTTGTTCCAAGTTTCCGTAATTCAAATAACTAATTTCAAGCAATATCGACAAATTCGAACAAGGCTTAACGAAGTGACAGAGGGCAACGACAATACGAATAAAAACAGCGGGAAGAGATTTATGTGTACAAGTAATTTGACTAATATGAGACTTTATTATATCGAGAAAAGTCTTAACGAACTGACAAAAAATGACAAAATGGCGAGGATAAAAAAAAAGAAGAACAGAAGATCTCGACTAACTTGACCATTCAAAATTCACTCCAAGTCTCTCAAATTCGAACAATCCGATTAATTCGAATTTGCTCCGATCAAACATCTACAAATTTCAACGAATCTCAACAAACTGACGAAAATTCGTAGTGACAAAGATTACAGAAAAAAAAAAAAAAAATGACGGAAGACCTCGACCAAGTTCATCATTCCAAGTATCGATCTTGGTGAACTCAAATCCCTTGCTTCAAGCAACATCTACAAATCTCAACAAACTAACGAAACTTTCGCAGTGACAAAGACATATAAAAAAGAAAAGAGACAGAGAAGGTTTCGACTAATTCACTCTTGATGAACTGAAATGCCTCGTTCCAAGTCTCACGAATTCAAACAAATCGATCAACTCGAACTTGCCTCAAGCAACATCTACAGATCTCAACAAACTGACGAAAACTCGCAGTGACAAAGATTAAAAAAGAAAGAAAAAAAGAAAAAGAAAGAAGAAGAGACGAAGAAGGTGGAGGGATGAAGACCAGCCGGGGTCGCATAAAACTGGGATTAACGACGCTCTCCGTAGGCGAGCTAGCGATCTCTGTTTATAGGATCGGCGCGTTACGCTGGCTCGTTACGAGCCACATGCTACCGCCATATGTGGCGCGATAAACAAACGCATAAACGCGGCTCCTTTGCAGACTTCGGTGTTTCTCTGCCTCCCGCGGCTTCGTCCAGCTCTTTTGCCGCGAGCAAACGCCGCGCCTTCGATAAACACACAACGAGTCCGAGTCCAAGTATAATGCGGAGCATTCTCCGAGACCGATCTCGGAGTCCAGTCGCGATCACTCGAAGTCAACAGCGGGGCGGGGGGGGGGGAGGGAGGGGGAACAAGCGAGAGGCGAACGTTGGAAGGAAGAAACCGACTGTGCGCGAACGACGATCGGCCGCGGCTTGAACCAATGCCAACACCTCCGTTTCGTACACACAGGCACGATTTTCACGCGTTTTGGCCCGGCGTGTGTGCGTGTGCGCGCGCGCACAGCCAGAGCCACCCTTATGCACGTGCACGTGTAAACGACTGCTAGAGGCTGCGAGTCTCTGCGACCGCCGCGCACGGCCCGCGGTTTGAGGTCCACCGGATTATTAAACGCCTACGAGGATCCACCGACACCCGTTTGCGGATTCGAACGCCGGCCACGCGTTCCACCTCCACCGTCGAGTCCTTCCTTCCGACTTGGTCGAATCTGCAGGACACTTTGCTCGGATTCTTTCAACCGTTTCACGTAGAACGGAATTCTCGTGTACACTTTGGTTGGACCACGTACGTAGGACGATTTAGGAATCCTTCAGCTACCATGCTCTTCGATTTACATTCCGAATGGTTGTTCGTTTGAATTTTTTTCTTATTATAGATTTGTTTTCGTCTGTTGTTTTCTTATTATACATTTCTTATGGTCTACTTTGTCGCGGTACTTTCCGTCTCGATTTTTCAACACGCAGCGTAATAAAAATCATGTTTTCCGATGTTACAGATTCCTTTTTTTAAGAAGGAAATTTTGATAACTGATACTGAAGACTGATAACAGTTCATTACTTTAAATTACTGAATTCTTAGTTTAACCGAACTTTACTGTTAATTTAAGTTTACAGATCAAATTAAATTCCATTTAAATTAAATATTCTAAATTTTCGTAATACAACGCAAATTCTGATAGTCATGTATAACCCGATGACAATATTTGGGAGTTAATTGGAATTTTGAGACGTTTGGAAACGAGAGAAAAGAAAAATCCTTTGATATATAATGGCTGTACGGAAGGTTTCAAAAAATTACTGAATTGCACAGGAAAGATACGTATTGAAGTCTCTCAGTGACTTCACTTGTGTTGCGTATTGAAAATCAACGAGAAGAATTAGAGAAGAGGTCAACAAATATTATCGTGGGCTTGTCCAAGTTTTTCCCAATGGAATCAAAGTTTCTAAAAAGAAATTACCTTAGTCGACTGAAACTTTTGGAAACGAAAGGAACCTTTTTGAACATTCCATTTCGAATAATATTAGGAAATATTAGAACCGATAGAAATAGATCTTTAAAGGTTCTACAAACACGTAACAAGCAAAGTTACAGTTAAAAGGATCGTACTTTGTATGTTAAAAGTTCGTGAAGTTTGTATACCAAAGATAGAAACGTTCGTCAAGTTGGTAGAGAAACTTTCGTAGGTAAACAATCAGAGTGGAAGGAACGATAGCTCGATGAGAGAGGAAGTAACGAACTTACTTGATTTGGATCGAGGTTCTCTTGGTCCATCTACTGTGACTTTGATCGCCTTCGTGTAGGTGGCGACTTGGAAGGGCACCGTGCTGATTTGTATCGTCAGCGAGAACGATTTTCCTGGAATCAAGCAAAGATCATTCGATGAGTAAATTCTCCATGTCGAGAATGTAATAAACTGCTACATTTCTACTGTCTCTCTAAGAACTTCTCAATATCCGAGACGAGAAAGGTATCAATAATAATCCATGTCCTGACACTGACCTCTCCCGCTGCGACCAACGAATCTCAAGTCGTTGAATTTGGCAACTTGGTTCTTCATGACTGCGGTGCAGTTTCTCAGTTCTCCGCAGCAATTCTCGTCGTTGCCGGCTCTGATCGTGACCAGAGTGCCGTCGCTGACTTCATCGAGAGCGACGACCTTGAAAGCCACCGGCAGCGACTTGTTCGACCTCCAGTGCGATGGCAACGCGCTACAGAGGATGGCGGGACTTCCGGTCCTTACTAGATCTCCGTGGCAAGCCTGCAGCGTCTCGTGAATCGCATTCAAATGGTCCATTCCCGGTCCATCCGGTAAATGCATTTTATCGAAAACTCTGCAAACCCTCCGATACTACGAGAAGGGGTAGTAGTCCAAAGCAGGCGGAGAATGTAGAAAATCCTCAATAATCCGGCAAGTATTCTTCTAGAATACACTGTGCTCTGTCCAATCACTGTATTTGTGTATCTCACATGAAACACACTTACCGGCCACCGCGAACGGTACCAGTCAACTAAGAGAAAAAAAAAAAAAAAGAAAAGAAACAGAAGGCAAAGATATCTCGGCAAATATGTCGGGAGAGGAAAGCTCTCTGAAGAGGAAGATGAGAAAGAAAAGGTCTTTCGTTCAGACTCTTCTTCCTAGTGGAGTCACTCTCGAATCGCTGGCGATTGTGGAAAAACGATACGACCGAAATGACCGAAGGGGAAAAAGACTCCACGCTAAACCGAGACGCGCACTCGATGCCGGCTGAGCGGATTCTAGTTTTTCGCGGCCGCAGCCGCAGCTATTTAGAGGGGATTTTTCTCCCCTCCAATTTTTCCGGAGCCCCACCCAGGCGAGGCGCGTCGACCAATGAGGACGGCGGTCGTGTTGTGGCCTCCGCGGCTCGCCGCCTTCGCCCCTAACCAGGCTTAGGGGGTGCCTTGCGAAAGGGGCTGCCAGCCTGCTGCCTCTCTTGCCAAGGGTGGCTTGTGCCTCCGCTCTTCCTTACCGTTTCCATCTTCCCTCTCTCGTCGCGCGTCTCTCTCACCCGCACGCACTCACACACACACACGCGCACGCACACACCCTCTCTCTCTCTCTCTCTCTCTCTCTCTCGGTTCCATCAGTTGGACTGGCACACGTTTCGACTCTCTAGTAACATCCGCAGCATCCACCCTCTCTGTCATCTCTATGGTTGGACTGGTACCGTTTCGGTTTTCGACTCTCACCCTGTCCTCTGATTTGTCTACTCTCTCCCCCGTCTCTGTCCGCGTACTCTCTCGCGGCCCGTCTTCTTGCCACTGTCTCTACGTATATGTATGCATGTCTGTGTGTATGCCTTCGACAGCCAACTCATGCCACGCTTGACGTGACGACGTAAATTTTCACGCGCACGTGTTCCTACCACCACTCCTCAGAGCTCTGCATGTTGCACGCGTTTCTTGACCTCCACGGGGGTTGCTCCGCGGAGGAAAGCGACCGCTTTCCCCGGTGATTCGACGATTGACGAGACTGTCTAATTGCCGATGTGTTGTAAATCATTTGTTCTTTTACTTGGTTGTTGTTGGACTTTTTTTTTTTTTTTAGTAAGTAAATTTATGTTTTTAGGGAAACGATTAAGAGTGGAATATACGATGGCATAGGGGAGAGGGTGAGAATTAACTCCTTTTTCATTTTTGAGTTGTCCACTTATTTTTATACGAAATTTTATGTTTTCGAACGCCTGTCTGGATCTCTCTCTAGCGATAGTTGCGGGGGAAGTAGGATTTTCCGAGACGATTCATGACACTGGAGTAGATTTGAGCTACGTACGTGCATGATATGTTATTTTAATTATTGACATCGGAGAAATAAACAATTGACGTAGGTAATTTATATGAAAATTCATATTGTTTGAGAAATAATTGAAGGTAGGACCAAAATATAAGTATAAGTATAAATATATAGGAAAATGAGAATTAACCTGATTCAACACTACTACGACTAGTCAAACGATCGTTTTCAAAAGTTTCATTTAGAATTTCTTACATTTTACTGCCATTTAATTTCACGCCATACAGTATACATACAATGAATATTTCAATTCTCACTTCTTTTCTTATTGTTTGCTTTCTGAGGGAAACATGTAGCTTGCCTCCCATTTTTAGAAACTTTGAAGTTATAAAGTCGTTACAAATGAAAGGTAATGCAAGGTATCTCGACTATTGAAAACTAAACTAAACGAGATCTAACTGCTGCAAAATTATTATATGGATTTATTGCACTCTTGGGGTCCAGCATTTCCCTCACGAACGTAGAAATAGCTTTACAGAAATTATGATATTTATTCGGTTTGATAATAAAAATCAACTATAAATCAGCTATATGCTCGTAAAACAAAATTTGATAAATTCGCTTTGATTTCTGAAATTTGGTGCAAATTCTGAAAACTGTTCCAGGACCATACCTCGCCGTTAATAAACAATTGTTTCTAACGAAAGCAAGGTAGTACATGCCCCGAGAAATTTGATAGCTTCTGATGTAAATAACAAATATAGCAAATGGCTATCCATATTTGGAAAAGGATCTTCAGTTCCGAATTTGTATTCTGAAATAAATAAAATCGCATACAGGTCGTATAAGGAATATAACCACTTTCCTTACAATTTTTTTACGTTGCGTGTCATTAGCGACTAAATTTTTAGCAAAAGAAAAAAAAAAGAACTATTGAATTTATTCGCGGAAATAGAGATGGAGCTACTAAAATCTGGCGAGACAGATAATATGACACATTTCTCAACAAAATTATATCGATCGGATAATTGTATTCTGACAATGTACAAAACTAAACTCAATAAAAAAAGTACTGGTACTTAGTACTTGATGCATACTACACCCATTGAAATTAAAAAAAAATGATTCCCGTATACTGCAGACAATTAAATTATATCCGCGATTGCGGAAAACTTGCCGGATATAAGATATTGCAAAGACAACAGGACTAACAAAATCTGTCTAAAGTGTAAAAAATACATACGTAGAAATTGTGCAATCGAGAAGCCTGTAATTTGCAGAAAAATGTATTTTAATATATTATTTAATATATAATTAAAAATATATTTGAAGAAACTACAAGAGGAGGAATTTCGAGGCAAAAAGTTTTTATTTCAATCGGCAGGAGAACTTGCCACCGAATGTAAAAAAGAACAACAGTTAGAGGAGAAAGATCCAGCAAAAACAGTCAGAAACACAAGTACAAGTTCTTGTAAACGGAAAACTTGCCAGAGAAGGTATTGCAAAGGCGATAGGACTAACAAAATTTGTCTAAAATGTAAAAAAAATACGTGTGTGGAAAATGTGCAATCGAGAAGCCTGTAATTTGCTAAAAATACGGTGGCAGGAAATTAAATCTCTAAATAAAAGAAACTATTTTTTTTTTTTAAGAAACTATCAAATTGGCTGTTACCTGTATATTATGAAACATGTTTGTTTTAAAGACCGGTCACTTGAAGTGTCGGTAAGGTTAATGTTAAATTTCATCGCACCAAACGTGTTACTGTTACAATTATTTATTTTTAACACTTGGTGCGACAAATCTTGACGACAAAGAAGATCGACAAAAAATTTTATTATATTATTTTCGAAGCGTTGTCAAACGTTCTCGCGATATTCTCGAATATATACATAAAAATATTTTATGTTAGATTTCTTGTCAGCACGAAGAAATCTATTGTATCAATTTAGATGTTTACCCGTTTTTTCTTGCTGACAAGAAGTCCTAACCTAATGCCGATAACATTCGATCAGGGTTATTACTTTTTGTTCCTTTCTGGTAGAGTCTGTTTAGCGTTCTTCAAGAACGTGTTCTAAAAAATGTTCAAAATAACATTACGTTTCTTCACCGAGGTCAGATCGAATCGGTAATCGAACGGCCAGTAATTTAAATTGATTGCTGTTCATGTTTGGCTATAATTCGTCAATGCTTATAAGACAGGCTCATCGTTTAGAGAGGAGAGATACAAATTCGGCTGAGATACAGATCAATCAGAGTAATCTCGACTAGAATAGCCGCGTGTAAGTGAAACAGTGACACGATCGTTGGATCCTTTCTATTTCATCAATTATATAAAAACTATGGATATCGATCCATTTCAACGCGTGCAAGATTAAATCTGAGCACGAACAATAACTCGCGACTCAACAATTATATTAAAATAATGAAAAGATGTACGATTGTAATATAGAGTTATTATATAACATATCATTATAAGTGTTATGTATTGTCATATAATGGTAAAATATATATTTACTCATTTTTTCAGAATACAAAGGGTCACAGTCTTGTGTTGTTGTCGAACTTTTTTCTCGAATCGTTTTTACCTAATCATGACTCAACTTGTCGCGAGCCAACAATTATATTAAAATAATGAAAAGGTATGTAGTAATATAGTGTTGCGTTTTATTATAAGTATTTTTAGTATGTTTTTGAAGAGTACAGAGAATCTTTTCGAATTATTTCTGTCGGATCCGTTCGACCGGAAAATTTTTACTTCCTTTTCGAATCATTTCTCCTTAATCTATCGCAGCGGAAAGAGATATGCAATCCTGGATAAGACCGGATAATCCTGCGGTTACCGCCTAATTAACTCTCGACGAATTTATTAAGTTCGAGGGATTTCCTCGGCGTGAATTGTCACAATATTTGGATAGGTATCGATGTGAGTCGAGGGTATCTAGCCAAAACCAATTGGTCAAAATTTATTACCTTCCTCTGTTACATGTGAAAATACAATTTCATGGTATCCTTATAAAATTTATTACTTCACCTTTTGGAAATGATTAGACTGCAGATAGAGACTCTGGTAATTAAAGTAGGAACGAGGAATTTTTATTAGATTTTGTATTCGTATATTTCTTAGTACTTTTACATTTTTGTAAACTTAGAACATCCCGTAGAATTCCGTGATAAATTCGTCACGATTAATTTATATTCCTGTTTTTATCGTGCCATCATTTATTTGATTCTTCTTGTTCATTATAATTGATATGTTTTATATCTAAAAATTGTTTCCTGTGATCCAAAAAAGATACAAACGAGTAAATTTTCTCTGTGCAAATGGCATGAAAATTGTGAAATTCAATATTCAATGATCACATTTTCATATTATCAAAATTGTCCTTTTTTCTTGTTTCTTGTCCGTAAGGTATGGAAATAATTTGTGAAATTTTTTTCATAGAAACAATTCAATATAATTGGAGTTAGGCGTTATCAAGAATAATAAACTCACCAACACTTCTACGTCAAAGACTTCGATGTTACCTCTCTCGATTTATCAGCTACTTTCCGAAAGCTTATACTCGCGAACCTAATACATCATTCGAAATCGAGAAATTAACAAAAGCGAACATTTTTCTTCTGTTAAAATCCACTCCTTCCCTCCAATATTTGAAAATCTCGAGATCAAAAAATAAGAAGGGGAAAAGGTAAAATTCTAAATAGTCCTGTGAACAATCTTCACAGGCCGATTGGTATAATTTATTAAATTACAG